CCTCTATTTACGCTGATACCCCCCACCGTTTTTTGGGACCGAAGGATTATATATTAAAAATTGTTACAGACACGAATTGGAACCGCAGTTCCTCCGCCGCGACTAAAACTATAGCTGTGGCTAAATATCAAACTGCCGCTAAAGACCACCTTCAAAATTGAATTGCCGCCGCTAATCACTATAACCTCTATGCAGAGTTGTTGAAGTTTATCATCAGAACGTTTGTCGATTGAATCCATAGATTCGATTTTGCAACCTTCACCGGTGAGACTGTTGGGGACAAAGATAAAGAGCAGTAACGAGAAGAGGAAGGGGCTCTAATCTTGATCGATCATAGATCGTGGTGCTAGACAAGATTTGAACATTGTTCTATATACATTACTTTTTCTTTTTCTTTCTATTTGGGCTCTAATTCTATTGCTGTGAAGAGTCGCTCACCGGATTTTCCAGAGGGTTTTTTTCTCTTCTCTCCCCACTACCGTGGATTGTGCCACCAACTCACTCACCAGAACAAAAAAAAATCGGTCTTTCTGTACTATTGCTGCTGCTTTTTTTTCCTTGGAGTCTACTCCTAATCTTTTCTTCTTCTTTTTTTTTTGTTTATTTTTGTTGGTGTTTACATTGCAGAACTTTCTAATAGGGTAGAAACCAGAATTGCATAATTTCCGCTATTTGTTTCTGTTGAGAGCTCTTCGCGCAAAAAGAGGACACCAAACCACATCAAATGCCAAGGACAATCAGAAGGACTTTTTTGCTGAGGCTCTCCGCAGTTCTTGAATTGTTTTATTCTCCAAAAGGTTTGTTTTGGTGTAGTTCTCTTTTTATTATGATTTGTTTTGATTCTGCTTTTGCCATTCAATAGGGAAATAGTTACTGTATCATGAAATCTTGAATGATATCTAATCTTGTCTATGCTCACTGAATTTCACTTGGTCCTAATCTTTTCTTATTTTTCAGGTTGCCTAATCTGTTGTTTTTTTTATGGATGTTCCAATTGAACTTCGTGGAGATGGTATCGTCTTCGTCGTCCTCCTCGTAAGAATTTAATTATTTGTTCAAGTTATTGTTGATTGGGGATTCTGGAGTAGAAAAAAGTAGTCATTTGCTCAGCTTTACTTCAGATACCTTCGAAGATCTCTCTCCTACAATAGGTAATACTGATTTTATTTTTCCCTTTCATATCTTTTGCATTAAAACGACTTTGAAGTTTTGATCTCAATATTCACATATGGTTATGATTTTGGATGGAAAGGTAGGATTTTACGAGAATGTTTGAGTTGCTGAATTCTATTTAATCTAGCAGAATTTCATGTAATTGTGTTTGTTTTAGGTTGTTGTCGGTTAGTCATCGAATTGAACTCTTTCAGAATATGAAGAATTATAAGGAGAGTGAGAAATAGAGAGATATTGTCAGCAAAAATAGCAGAATTGTGGAATCTGAGCCATGTTATAAGGACCTTTGCAAGATAGTTCCCTTTTAAAATTTCTTTTTTTGAATCCTATTGAATTGGTCGAATGTTTGTTCTTCTTTCGTGTTTCAAACCAATTTTAAATGTACATGGAATATGGAATATTTGCTGATCAATTGGTTTCATGTCAATTTATTTTATGTTAGTTAGACAAAGGTGTAGACCTTTCAACCCTGGTAAAAGTTCTCATGACTTACTATTTTTTGGGATATGATCATGTTTGTATTGGTGTGTTGTATACTGTCTCCACCAAACCTAGTTTATTTTGAACCTATTTAATTGCAAAGTGAAAATTGAAGTGGAATGGAGGTCTCTTTATGCCTTAGGTTTGAAAACATAAAATTTTGGTTTATTGAACTGGTAGACATTCTTTGTTGCTGTTCCCTAAATGTGATCTATATGAGAATACATTATCAATCACTTTAAAATTAATTGGGTTACAGAGGTTCTTTTACTGTCAACAAAGTGAATCACGTGGAAGACTAATCAAATGTAGTTTAGTATACGATCGCAACAACATTGCATCAAATTGGGACCAAAATTTAAATCCTCACTCCACTAGATATCTGCACCAAAATTTGTACGTCTTTTACTGACTTTATATACTTGTGATATTGTAATGTACTCTTTTTCTGACTTTATGTTTCTAATATTTGACTGTTTTATAATAAAGAACTAAAATACCATCTCTTTATATGTCTATGGTTCAAAAAAGTTGATTAGCCTTGAGAAATTACCTCCATGTCTAGATTTGAATATTTTTCTCTAATTAATACGCCTAGGCTCTCTTTGATATGTATGCTGGATTATTTGAAAATTTGGAATATAATGATGAGCTACTTTAGTAGCATGATAAGGCTCTTGGTGTAAGGAAAAAAAATGATAGCATACAGATTTGCTACATGCATTAGTGAGCCACTAACTTGATGTCCTAATTATGATAGTTTTTTGTGAAAAATTTTGCTTTACCAGGCAAATAAAATGCTGGACACTTGGCTACTCGTCTTAATATTAGTACCTAATGATTGGGAATGCTTTGGGGAGAAGCTACCCATTTCTGCTTTGGATTGACTAAGCATAGAGCATACTGCATTACTTCATATGTAAAGCTCATTGCCTTTTTGTTGTTCTTCAGGTTCAGGAACTTCACTGATTGTACCAGATACATATAAAAGTAGCAAAGAATTTGCAATTGAAAGGCGTAGGTACATTAGGAAAAGATAATCACTGTCTCTATACCATTTTAAAAAAATTTGTTTCGTAAGACTTTCTTGTGGCTTTTGCTTCTTTGCCTTACTATGCTTCTTGCAATCTATGCAACAGTCATTTGGTTGTCAATAGTGAGAAAAAATATAAGTATTTCGAGCTTCTTTACCCACTAAATGTCAAAAACAGGAATCTAGTATATTATTCTAGAAGACCTTTCAGAGAAGGAAATACTCTTCTATAACTTTGCGCATAAACGTTTCTATTGTTTATCCTTAATTTTCTAATTTTATCATTTACTACATAATTTCTTCTTCTATCTAGAACAACTTTCATTGGTGCATATTTTTCAGCTGCTCGCCAAACAACTATGAACTATGCTTCACACGCACTTAGTTGATTCTTAAGATTTGCTCAACAAATAGTATGGCGAAAAATAATTTCATTGAGTTTGATCTTATGCAACTACTTGACTCTTGCTCAGTAAAGTCATGATCAACTAATAGGTTTGGAATTTTTTTAGCATACATCCCTATACTTTTATTTTACTGCTAATTAGGCGTTAGTTTCTGGTCTCCATTTCTATTTTTTTGCACCAATGTTTCCATATATCAAATCTTTTCCCATAAACCTGGTCTGATGGTAGTGTTGACAAGTGATTCTTTGATAATCCTGTGCGGGCTTAAAATCTAGCATTTATACAAATAGTTCTATTATTGTTATTCTTTGCACTGTTGCATTTAAAGTAATACAGCCATTGCTGTCAAGACAAGCCCAAAACAATGGGAAAGTGGTTCATTTCAAGCTCACTTTACCCGAGAAAACAAAGCTTCTTCGCCTCCTACGGCTACTACTTTGATTCTTTTGTAGAAACCGATCCTAATTTATGAGCTCCTAATACAGAAATTCATAAAAGCTCGAGTACTACCTTTTACTTCTTCCCGATTTGGTGAATACAAATAGTCTTATCGACTAAAGAAACGAATAGAATACAAAGTAAAGTCAAAGATAAAAAACAAGCTATATTTCATAATAAAAAGATTAAGTAATTGTAATTCAAATTATTGACATAGAATTCAATAAAACAAACTATTTTTATACTTTCTCCGTAGCATACTTTTTTGTTACGAACACAGTGTAATAATTATATAATACAAACTGGTCGCGCAACGCGCGATATAGATAAGCCTAGTAATAGATTTAAGTATGTCTAGTACATTATTTAATTTTATTTCTACTCTTGATATAAAACTTGAGAGCATACCCGTCGCTCTAACTGTGTCACTAGACTCAAGATTCGAAGGAATTCACTGTCATTATTTACACTCAAAAGATTTTGTTTGATTATGTTTAATTGTCTAATTTGCATACTTAGTTTCCTAGTGAACTTAGTTTTTGGCTGTAATTGTTACTTTGACTTTGAAGCAATAAAAATACCATTGAACAGCCGGAAAACCTTCTCGTGTGCATTTGCTGTCAATCAACCTTTTCTTTTTTAAAAAATAAATCGTAAACCTATTCAAAAAATACAAATTATGCGCTTTAATTTGAGTTCTTATGTTCAAATTTCTAAATTTTAGTGAAGTTTATTAAGACTTTAGATATTTATTACATGTAATTATCCCCCTCTACTCCTACAAAATTTTTGACCCCCCGCCCAAATCAAGCCGAGCAATCCTTTTGCACAAAGTACCTAGAAGACGTTGCAAATTGCAAGGGTTTCATAGCTTTGTGACAAATTAAAATTTGTTTAAGCCGGAGACATTAATTTATTGTAGAACTTACTAAAGTATATTTCTAACCTACATTTTTCTTTTTGGTTCATTAAAAGAAAAAAAAAAAAAAAGGAAAGAAGAAAACTATTGTTTTTATCGCAACAATTTAGTACACTCGCTCACCAAAAAAAGGAAAAGAATACACACGCATCTTATGTTATTCTTTTATTGTCTTACCAAAAATTCTAGTAAATAATTCAATTTAAAATAATCAAATATACATACTCCACTTCTTATAGAATAATTATGCAGCCAAAGCTAATAATTGTAATGTAAATTAGATTATTAAAACAATTAAACAAGGGATTTAAAACATTGAAGTGTACTTTTTGATCATTTTTTTTAAATACTTTCTCTGTCCTAAAAAATTTGTCAATTTGAATTTTTATTTTTAGAGTATGAAAAATGAAATTTAAACTGTACAAGTATTCTGATACAAAAGGAAAAAATATCTGTAAAGGGAAAATGTAAAAAAAATTAAAAAAAAAAAGCCTTTAGGCGCTGGTGTATAAACGTTCAAACTGAACTACATCGGCTACCCGACTTCGAAATTAAGACCCGGGCGGGAAACTCGAAAAACACTCCTAAAATGGCTCACGGCGGCGGCGGCGGCGGAGGAGGAAGAGGGGGAGGGAGGATAAACGTGTTGAACGTGGCGGAGAAACCCTCAGTGGCAAAGTCAGTCTCAGAAATTTTATCGCGGAACCAGCAGTTGATTTCGAGGCGAGGGCGGTCCCAATTCAACTGCATTTTCGAGTTCGATTACGTCATTCGCGGGCAGCCTTGCCATATGTTGTTCACCTCCGTCCTTGGCCATCTCATGGAGCTCGACTTCGATGACCGCTACCGGAAATGGAATTCTTGTGACCCAGTCGATCTGTACCACGCAACTGTTCGTAAATTTGTCCCTGAGGTAAACTCAATTTCCCTGCCGAGCCCTTTACGTTGTTCAACTGTAAATTAGGTATCCTTTTGGGGGTTTTAGTCTGGAACTAGATTCACTGAAAGCTGAGGTCCTAATAATTTGTTGAGGAAACAAAACTTTCATGCTTATATGAAATGCTCTTAGGTTTTGTTCATTCGCTAAGGTTCTACTTGTTTAGTTTTTGAGAAATGGTAATTTCGCCATTCAAAAATTCTATTAGATTGATTTCAAAGGTGTCAGAACAAAGGTTGAGCGCATATTTTGATTCCCCCCATGTTTAAGGTGAAATTTGGATGTTAGATTATTTCTCTTGGAATGGTTTGTAGGATAAATTAAATATCCAACGGACGCTCGAAGAAGAAGCTAGAAAGTGTCAGTGGCTTATCCTGTGGCTTGATTGTGACAGAGAAGGGGAAAATATTGCTTTTGAAGTGATTGACGTCTGCACGAAAGTAAATCGTAATCTTGATATAAAGAGGGCTCACTTCTCAGCATTGATTGAAAGGGCGATTAAAGACTCGGTGCAGAACCTCGTAATGCCTAATAAGTTGTTTGCGGATGCAGTTGACGTTAGACAAGAGATAGACCTTCGCATTGGAGCCTCTTTCACTCGCTTCCAGACTATGTTGTTAAGTAATGCGTTTGTACTTGATGCATCTACAAATACAGATGGCAGAAATCTTGTTTTGAGTTATGGTCCTTGCCAGTTTCCTACTCTGGGCTTTGTTGTGGAACGCTATTGGGAAAGAGAAGCACACGAACCTGAAGACTTCTGGACCATTAATTGTACTCACAGGTCAGAAGAAGGCACTGCCACCTTCAATTGGATGCGCAACCATTTGTTTGATTACGCATGTGCATTAGTAATTTATGAACTGTGTGTTGATGAGCCCACTGCAACTGTCACAGATGTCAGACACCAAGAAAAATTAAAATACCCTCCATATCCTTTGAGTACGATAGAGCTTGAAAAGCGTGCATCCCGTTACCTTCACATGAGTGCTGAGCACACTATGAAGGTGGCAGAAGATTTGTACAATTGGGGATTCATCAGTTATCCTCGCACGGAGACTGATCGCTTCTCGTTGGAGACTGACTTGCGTGCCATGGTGAGTGAACAGCAAGGGCATGAGAGATGGGGCTCGTATGCCCAACGCTTGTTGGATCCTGAAGCAGGGGTTTGGAGAAACCCTGGTAATGGTGGACACGATGACAAAGCACATCCTCCTATTCACCCAACAAGATTTTCAAATGGTGAATCTAACTGGACTCAGCAGCACCATAAAGTGTATGAACTGGTTGTTCGGCATTTTCTGGCCTGTGTTTCTCAACCAGCCAAAGGGGCTGAAACAGCTGTCCATGTTGACATTGCTGGAGAAAAGTTTTCTTCAACTGGAAGAGTAATACTGGAAAAAAATTACTTGGATGTATATATCTATGAATCATGGGCAGGTTCTCTGATTCCCACGTACACTCATGGGCAACAGTTTATGCCAACCACTTTGACTCTGGATTCTGGTGTTACTAGACCTCCACCTCTCTTAACTGAAGCTGATCTTTTGACATGTATGGATAAGGCTGGCATTGGTACAGATGCAACAATGCATGATCATATAAAGAAGTTGCTTGATCGAAGTTATGCAATAAAAGAAAATGCTTATTTCATCCCAACTGATTTGGGGCAGGCACTAGTAATGGGATACGATGACATGGGATATGAACTATGGAAACCTTATCTGCGTGCGAGGATGGAGTCTGATATGAAAGACGTTAGCATTGGAAACAAGAGAAGAGCTGAGGTTTTGGATGCTTGCTTACAGCAGATGAAGGCCTGCTTTATAGATGCTCGTGCCAGGAAAGAAAAATTGTTTGAAGCAATGGGAAATTTCTTTGAAAGGTCAAATAGATCTAGTAACAATGACCAGACTTCGGGTGGAGTTGTCAGGAAATGTGATCTATGCCATAACTCAGACATGGTGCTTAAACAAAAGCCAGATGGAAATTTCATGGTTGGATGCTTGGGTTACCCCCTATGCAGGAATGTTGTCTGGCTTCCTGGATCCATATCCCAAGCAGTAGTTACCGGAAATACTTGTCTTACTTGTACTCCAGGGCCAGTTTTCAAAATTCAGTTTAAATTCCGGCGGCTGGAAATACCTCCAGATTACAATGCTGATCACCTAGGTTGCATTGGAGGATGTGATGATACTTTAAAGCAACTGATTGATATTTGTGGAACTGGCGCCCGCAATACTTCCAGCACTCCTGGTAGAGGACGTGGTAATCCTACATCTTCTAGCAGTGGTCAGCGAAGTAATTCTAGAGGACGGATGGCTTGTATATACTGCCGTCAAACAGGGCATTCTTCAGATGTTTGTCCTTCACATATTTCTCAAAGTAATCGAAGAACTCAGGGATTTGGCCAGCAAAATGGTAGAGGACAAGGTAATTCTACATCTTCCAGTATCGGTGGGCGAATTAATCCAAGAAATCAGGATTTCGGCCGACAAAATGGAGAAGCTTCAATTCCTTGCAGCTCATGTGGGTCACCTTGCACTCTGCTGACTTCTAATTCTGCCCGTAACCCAGGGAGGAAGTTCTATTCTTGCCAAGCATGCAGAAACTTTAACGGTTGGGAAGATATGCTGAGTGGTGGCGGAAGTGTTCCACGTCCAAGTGGCTTTGCATCTAATGCAAGGAGAGGTGGCCGTGCTAACAGAAGTGGGGGAGGGCATGGGAGCAGCGGTGCATTTGTTTCAGCAACTGGCGAACCAGTATCTGGCAGGTGCTTTATATGTGGTGATCCATCACATTTTGCAAATGTCTGCCCAAATCGAGGGAGATAAGACTTACAGCTACGATTTTGGAAGGAACATCACATCAAGACCAAGCCTTTTTAACTTGTTCAGTTGGTTGTACACGGAAACGCTTGAAGGGGGTGCTTACAATGTCTAAGAACTTGGTGATACAACAGTAAAACCTCTGCTAGGAAGCACTTGATTTCTGAGGCATAATTTTCTTTCTGGAAAAGGTACCCAAATACAGGTTTGTTTTTAGATGTTTTAAAATCTGGGTTGACCAGCATGATGTTATCTGTTCATTTATAAGCAGCTAATTCACTTTTAAGTTAGATACTAATCATTTGTAATTGGGTATCTAGGTTGTTGGAAAGCTTATTCACTTTTTAGGTTTTAGGCTTTGTTGTAGTTCGATAGTTAAATTGTTGCGATGTCAGTAGTTGTCTAATTGCCCATTGAACTGTTGCATTTTGCCATCTAAATTTAGCAGGAAGACATTTAACTGGATAACATAATGCGCACATGTTAACCTTATGCATGTTTTCAACTGTCGTCGTTCTTCAATTCACGTGAAAAATAGTATGATGGTCACTCTTCATCAACAGGAAATTCTAAATTGATTCGATACTTACCAGCATCCAAACTCCATTAACACGAAATCAAAATGAGTCCTAAAATAAAAACTGAGGAAACAACCATTGAAGAACACAAATATTAACAAGAAAATACTAGATAAATTCTGTATTTAAGTGTAATGTGTTGATCAGATTTTTCATTATAAGACGCCCAAACTGCTGCTTCTTCTGTGAATTGAAGGATTGCCCTCATGGAGTTAACCTCATCTAGTTAACCTCCTTGACAAATTTATTCCCCTCATGGAGATCTTTCTCATAAACTAGAGAAGTCCACTATCATCTTATAATGATCAAGTGAAACAATTACAAATCACTATGAGGCTAGCTATTTGAGTTCTTTCTTTGATTGAAGTAAAATTTAATAACGTTTTTCAGCATGTTAGACGTTTGAGGAATAACCAAATCATCATACTTCTTTTTTTCTTTCTTTTTTTTTTTTCAAAGTTAAACTCTTCGTGTTTTCTCTTCTTTTCTTCATTAATTCATTTTCTACGACCAAACATGAGATCCCTCATTTCTCTGGCTAGCATTCGATGTGCAAGAATAACACAATGTCATGCAGAAAGCATAGTTTATATGTTGAACATAGAGAATTCAGAAAATACTTGCTCTCCAACATAACCCAACATTAAGACTAATCAAAACTGTCCATACATGACAAGAAAAGCGCAATGTAAAGCTAAAAATACGCCTTCTATCCCAAAATAAGAAGCCCTTACGGTTTGATAAAATCGTAACGGAAGCTAAAATAACAGTGCAAAAATGGGGAGGGAGGTCTTGACTGTCGAAGGACCTATGTTTTGTAAGTTACACTACTCAGGAGCTGTATCTCCAGGGGTGACGCACAACCTGACTATGAGCTTTCCCATTGATTCCATAGTCTGCATGTCTGAATCGCAGGTTAATAAAATAAACTCATCATCTTCATCCATATAGCACATATTAAAACTTCCTACTGCTAATTTGAGCCTCGATGCTACTTCCGATTCCATTTGCACCAACTTGGACGAGAATGGGAGTTTGAACTTTATCATTTTTTTCCCACATTGAGCCTTTATGGTCAAGAAACTACTATCGGGCAACACTGCCACTGGTGTTGCCTGGTTCTTTCTGAACATTGTTTCCATTTCAGCAGAAACAGCAAATTCATGATTTCTCTCACTCGTTACATTTTGTTTGCCGGAGTCATTTCCAGAAAAATTACAAGTGGCGCCGCCTGTTGAAGATTTGTAGCGGGGCCAACTTAGGATGCCAAGATCCCTGCATCTTCTCTTTAATGTAGATTTGCTCACTGTAAATACAGGAGGAGTTGCATATTATTAGTCTATGAAATAATTTCTTATCTGGACTCAAAGTAAATCATCCAAATTTAGTTGTTTAAAGCAATAGGTCAATGCATGCATAACTGACCTTTAAGAGACCGAGCAGCATCTTCAAGTCTGCAACCAAAAAGTGTTGCAATACTTTCGCGGTTAATCTGTGCAGCAAGTGTTGCGGTATTTTTTATGACCATCTTCCTTTGAAAACATTCTACCTCAGACGTTGTCAAAGCACAGGAGTTATTGTTTTGATGATGACAACTCTCAGTTCCTGTACTCATTGACAGAGTATCAAAAGAGTATTGGTCTTCTTTCAATGGTGGTGAGGTTGAGAAACAGGCATGTTGCTGCAATAACCCAGCCGAATTTGAAGGTTCTGGACTTTCGTTGTTCAAATCCATGCATCCCACCATCCTATACTCATCTTCTTCTTCCATCCTATAATCTTCATCATGATCTGCTTGAAACCAAGAAGTTGAAGCAGAGGAGTTATTATGGTAAATGAAACTCCCGGCTCCCATCATTGATGGAGTTGTGTCAGAAGATTGGTCTTCTTTCAATGAAAGTGAGGTTGATGAGGTAGAGGCATGATGTTGAACTAACCCTCTTGTCCTATTTAAATGCATAACTTCTTCATTCCCATCCCAACTACGGAAAGAATCCAAGCTTCCTCGGTAACCATGACAACTGTTGAAAGAATTCTGAATTCCAGCATGTCCCGCGGTAGCACTGACAGAACTACTGGAAGAGCCACTTTGAGGAAAAAAGTTCTTGTGTTGTTGTTCTGTGGATATGGGGGCACTTTGATCCAAAAGTCCAACTAAACCGCCAATAGGAATACCGCTATCGGGGAACAATCTGAAAGTTACTTGCTTATTGTCATCCTTTTTAGAAACTTGTAAAACTTGAACATCAATCCCACTATCCAAAGTCTGATCAGATCCAGTAATGAAACCATTGAGGAGCTTCCTCATTGTCAGTAATACAAGCTCCAAAGGCTTCTGTGGATTCCCAGCGGCAGTACTAGGAAGAAAGAGTTCAAGCACATAAACATCTGGATTATCTGGATTCTCCATGTAGAGATGATGATGGCTCTTTAAGCAAATAGCAAAAGCGGCAGACAACCTAACCTTCCTGGCTATATGAGCAAATGAGTAATCTGCTATACTTAATTGGCCGACATCTTCGCAGAAGCATGAACCACCCGTACCAAATGCCTTCCAGACAACCCCTCTTCCAAATGGTAGGTGAAAACCTTCACAGGTATCTCTAAACATGGAAAAGCCTAGATGTGACTGGTAATACTCATCACTTGTTGTCGATAAAACAAGCGGTGAACAACTTTTGAAATCTCTATCAGTCCAAGTCTGAGCAAAGGGCAAGTTGTGCCTTATGCATGTCTCCTCTAATGCGGCTTGAATGTCGCGCAGTGCATTTCGCCGTCCTTCTGAACTCTGTTTAAAATGTGGTGTCCGACAACAAATTTATGGCATGTGAAAGAAATCAGACCTTAAATGTACACATCAAACAAGCTACGCAGAAATGAAATCATTAATAAATACTTCTTGATGACTATCATGAATGTATCTTACTTGTGCCAAGTTGGTTTCCATTTCAAAGTGGGATGTAAAAGCTGAAGTCCTCAGTCCCACCCCCTGTCAAAATTAGTTCAAAGATGTCTGAAGATCAAGACAAAACAAGTTCAATCCTGTTCGCATTTCAAAAAGAGTAGTTGGCTAAAAGACTGCACACACTTAACAGTGCTGTAATTTTTTTCTTTTAATTTGAATAGCTTTCATGGTGTTTTACACTTAAGTTTTTCAAAAAGAAAGATCATATTCTCCAAGTCTGTTTAAAAAAAAAAAAGAAAAAAAAGAAAAAGATACTGACGGTAATAAAAGAATTCAACTCCAAAAAAGTGACTAAACCACAAACCTGAAGAGCAGTAGATATTAATCCAAAAATGTAGGCAGGCTTGTCAATCTCTGATGAAAAACATTCACAATAGAAGAAGGGATCAAGCGACAGATTAACAACCTGAAGAAGGAAACGCAAACACAACTGGAAGAGACAGAATGACAACTAAAAATTCCTTCATCAATTCTCCCAATCTAATTTAAATAAAACTAAAACCTTGTGCATTGAACCATTAACTTCTTTTATTTCATACAAGAGTTCTTTTTATTATTGATCATGCAATATATACGACTTGGTAAGCAATATTTTTACCATTTTATTGAAACGAGGTCTTGGTAAGATTTTAAGCAGATCTCCTAGAGGTCCAAGATTTATTCCCTTTCAAAATATGTCGGAGAGAGTTTTCTCGCATTTAAGTGAGGTTCACTATAGTGATTTTTATTTTTTTAAAAAAACTTATCTATGCCAGGTGGATAAAAGAATAACTATCAAGAAATATATATATTCTTTGAATTTGTATAGGGTTACCTGTTAAGCAGGGTTACCTGTTGAGCAAGAACCGACAAGTAACCCTATACAACTTGAGGTTATATTAAAAGAATATGTCGAAAGTACTGTCTCTAGTTTGTTTGGTTCCCTTTTGAATACGATTTTTTTTAGAATTTTTTATTAATAATTGTCCCATTCTGCCCTATCTTTTTATATTTTTAATACACTTTTTTATATTTTTAATAAAAAAACATTTAAAAACACGTATAAAAAATAATTCAAACATATGCATTTTGAATTGTCTTTTATGTGTGGGTGTGTATTTTTTGGTCTAATAGCACCATTCCAATTTCAAAAGCTCCTGACCCAAACTAATAGCTTCTCCTAATCAGATTCAACATTAAGCCTGGAACAACCTAGCCGGAACCAATGGCATTCATTTCTTTTCTACTGAACACACTATATTTTATTTGATTGTGAGCCCGACAAAAAAGCCCTTCAGCAAGTGAGCTGCATGTTTTCTAATACTCCCTCACGTCCCATCTACAGCAGAACCGTTTTAAATTAATAGGGTTATGAAATTATTAAATAATCGATAAATTATTAAATTATAAATTTAAAGTGTTTCTATAAGGGAAAATAATTATTACTAAGTTATGCAATTTTCAACAAGTGTTGAAACTCTTCTCAATACTGAAATTGATAAATACTTTATATCATTTTCAGGGACTCAAATAATTCAATGGTACATATTTTACTAAATATTTATAATTATTATTTTATGTTTTTTGAAATTAGAATAATTTTTTATTTTTGATTTATAATATTATTAGGACTTATAAATATATAAAAAATTTTCTGAAACATTATTATCTTATTATTATTATTATTTTGATTTTGCTCATTTATTGTACTAATTACAAGTTGGGATAGGAGGAAATTATTAAAAATTTAAATTTATTAATTTATAAGTTATTAATTTAGGTACATGCTTGACAAATTAGTGTCAACTAACATGCTTGGACTTTAACCTTTGATACTAATTTTGGTTCCTACGATTAAGGTTGAGGCCCGAACATGTTTTTGTTTGGATTTAGGTGAGAGGACTATGTTGGTTCTTGGTTTAATATTTTTCCCCTGAAAGTAAACATTATGCCTCTCCATTTTCAAGGCTATATCCAATTCTACGTTACCCAAAAGCCCTAAACCTGAGTAAGCAAATACTCCTCATCAAAAGTACTATTCCAAAGGAGAACCTTAAAATTGTTGTTGTAGTTTTATACTCTTGATTTGGTCAGTGGTTTTGAAGTGTTTTTGTGGTTTCGTACTCTTGGTTTGGGCCAAGCACATGTTTAGGCTATTATGTTGTCCAAAAAATGTTTTGGTCTAATTTTTCTATATTATTGATTTTCTTTGGCCAATAACCACCATCAACCATCACTTTAACCACTGCTCACTGCCGCTTCTCCATTTTTAAGGCTAGATCCAAATCTACGTTATCCAAAAGCCCTAAATCTAAATAAGCAAATACCCCTCGTCAAGAGCAGTAGTCCAAAGAAGACCTAAAAGTGTTTTTGTGGTTTTGTACTCTTATTTGGTCAGTGCTTTTGAAAGTATTTTTGTGGTTATGAGCTCTTGATTTGGGCCAAGCACATATTCGGGCTAATAATCTTGCCCAAAAAATTGTTTTGGTATAATTTTCTTATATTATTATTATTTTCTTCGGCCAATAACCACCATCAACCATTACCTTAAACACTGTTGACCGCTGCTACAGTGGTGGTGCCGCCGGCAGTGGTCCGATGGCGTCACTACCGTTGTACCGGTGGCCGGTGGTGGTCAAACGTTGGTCAATGTCAAAAATGTGTTTTTTGTCAATATGCATTTTCATAATCTATTTCAAAATCAATTTCATAACACATCTCAAACACACATACACAAAAGACACAAAATACGAACCGAAATAACAATCCAAACACAGCCATTTGTTGCCCTTCAATTTTTTCATCGGAGGGATTACTGTACTAAACAAAATTAAAACTTTGAACCACTTGTTGATAATGAAAAGAGTAATAATAATCGTCATCGTACTCATAATCCCTTTTATCCTATTAAAGCAGAAGACATGAAGCTTATGTGGCAACTACGTATGCATTTGTGTTTGGCTCCAATGCACCATATTTCAGATTTCAGAAGTTTTTTTGCCACGTTTTAGTCTCTTTTAATTAGAAGCTATATAATTTTTTTTAAAAAAAAAAAATACATGTTTTACTACAAATAAGGATCAGTTACATTTCAAACGAATGGATATATTAATTCAAATTCAAATTTCCAATCGTATAGTTTTGCAGGCTTAATATAAACAAAAAATAAAAATACTTAAATCCAGCAATTAAGAATAATGCCTTATAAACTAATTATTTATTATTCCCTTATAACCTCAGATTTATAGGTATATTTTTTTAAGCCCCAAACCATAGCATAAATAATATATACGCCAAATTAATTCTTCAAAAAATAGTAATTCAATTAGATTTTAATAAAATATTAATTGAGAGGGGGCGCCCGGACATCTGTCCGGGCCAAGCATCTAGTACTGTATTAAGGAGAAGAGATTAGTTCCAATATGATTAGTTTCACTTTTAGCATATTTCAAACTTAAAATATTCGAAATTAAACAATTATTTCGGGATGGGTTACGGTTACCTCTCTTGGAGCGAGATGATGAGGAGACCAGTTCGAGTACACCAACGCAATTCCTAGAGTCGTTTTTGAATACAGGCACAGCCATGTACTTTTTTATGGCAAGCTTAAGGATCTCATCTCTCGATGGATACTCTGCATCGGAGTAGAATTCCACATCCGGGCTGTATTCCGGCGACCCGTTTACGAACACCCTGGAAGGCGGGCCAACGGCTAACCAGCTGTTTCCTCTGATTCCAGAGGCTATAATATTCCGACTACCACCGCGGCCGTCGTTTCCATTGAGAGAACAAGCATACTGAAAATTCGAAGACAGGCTTCTGTAAGAACAGAGTCCTTTACCCAGACAGGTCATACCAAATGGTTCATTCAAAGACTTTAGGACTCTCCGGCCGTCGACCGTCACAACCGGCGCAAAAAATTGAGCTAGGATTGAAGGGCAATACCCGAAATCGACATTCTCAAGTGCTGCTCTGATCCTGTCTTTGATCACCGCGCAATCGTTCCCGGGTGGAATTGACCGAGATACATTACCTGGAACTGAAACAGAGAATCAGAATCGTCAACATATCAGTGTTTAATCTAGTTGATTGATCTATAATACTATAACAAGTAGGACTATAATAAACTCACATCCGTATCCTATTTCATCATCTTCAATATCATCTTTATCTATGGAGAAAACCATAAACCTTTTGGGCGACGAGCTGCCGGACCGGCGCATTTTTGCACCTATGTACCGGCGGAACACCGATTCAGAATGAGTCCCTTCAACATCATCACTCCAAATGGAGAGTGGCCGTTTACCTTCAGCTTCAGCCATATATTAATTGCCGAGCTGATGACGGACTAATTTAGGTACCTCTTTTTCTCCCTGCAAACTGCTGGAGAGTAATTCTGATTCATCTCTGGCTAGTTGTGTATCATTTTGAACCGAGTATTAAAAAAACTGTATTAGGTTCTAATTCATCGTCTAGGCTGGGTACATACTATTACGTCGTCTTAAAAAATTAAGCTTGTTGACTTTGGCGTGGGATACACCACTGCTTTGGGTGTGGATGACGATTTGAAAATGTAGTTTTGGTTGATTTTATTCCAATTTGGTATTAACAGAATGTCCACCGTGGGGGGGAATGGTCATCAGCTCTGACTCAGTTGAACCCCCTGAACCCGAGCCGCTGAGCCCCAACAAACAAGTCTTAGTCTACCCCCCAATGGTACGCATACATTACAGCATTCTTGACGTAATTCTTAGAAAATCATTACTTCTAAGTTGAATAGAGAGATTAAAGAAAATAATAAGTATTAATTTAAAAAGTATAATGAAGAAAAGAAGTCCACAAGAATCAAAGAAAGGTCATTTTCAAAAAAAAAAGAAAAAAAGAAAACAATATCAAGTATCAAGATACTGTATGTTACCTACTTGCTTCAAGGAAGGAAGATGTCCATTCTCCACAAACAACCTTTATTTAAGAGGAAAATTATCAAATGGAACAATTACAAAACACTTTGAGGCTAGCTATTTCACTATTTGAGTTCTTTCTTCGAGTGAAGTTAAAATTTAATTACGCTTGTCAGCATGTTAGACGTTGGAGGAAGAACCGAACCCATCATACTTCTTTTGAAAGAGAAAAAGGAAAAAAAAAAAGAAAAATAAAGGAAATCTTCATCGTCTGTGATTTACTTTTGTGTTTCATTCTCTTTTTGCAGTTAAACACTTCATCGTTTCTCTTGTTTTCTTCATTAGTTCATTTCCTATGACCAAACATGAGATCCCTCATTTTTCTGGCTAGCATTCAATGTGCGAGGAGACAATGTCAAGCATAATTTATGCTGAACATAGAGGATTCAGAAAATACTTGCTCTCCAACACAACCCAACTTTAAGGATGATCAAAACTGTCCATAAAATACAAAAAAAAAAACAAGAAAAGAAAAAAGCGCAATGTAAAGCTGAAATAAGTACGCTCTCTGTCTCAAAATAAGAAGCCACTACAGTACAACAAAATTGCAGCAGAAGCTAAAATAACAGTGCAAAAATGGGTAGGGAGGTCTTGACTCTCTAGGCCTCTAGGGACCTTTATAAGTTATAAACTACTCAGGAGCTGTATCTCCAAGGGTGACACACACACTGACTGTGAGCTTTCCCATTAGTCTCCATGTCTGAATCGCAGGTTAATAAAATAAACTCATCATCTTCGTCCTGATACCACATACTGAAACTTCCAACCTCTAATTTGAGTCTCGATGCAACTTCCGCTTTATCACATTTTTTCCGTATCTAGTCTTTATGGTCATAAAACTACTGTCGGGCAATGCTGCCACTGGTGAAGCTAGGTTCTTTCTGAATGTCGTATCGTTTTCAGCAAAACCAGCAAATTCATGATTCATCTCGTTCATGTCACTATGTTTGCCAGGCCCGGTCCTGGAAGCAGGGCAAGTCCCACCTTGAGCTTTGTCGCGCTCATGCCACCTTTCTATGCCAAGAGCCCTACATTTTCGCTTCAGTGTAGATGGATGCACTGTGAAATGTAAACACAAGGATTAATCATATCAGTTCGTGTTCCTCCAAATTTTTCATTCCTCATTCCAAAGAAAGAGTGACGTCTGTTGAACTATTCTAGTTCACAAACGGACTCTTATTCTGGGACTGAGAGTAATCTAGTGGTTTAAAACACAATGTATGGCAGACATGGCTGACCATTAAAATGGGAAGCAGCCTCTTTAAGTTTCAAGTTCAACAGACGGAATTTTTCTATATTTTCGAAGTTAATTTGTGCAGAAACTGCATCTGAATTTTTTACTTTCTTCTTTTGAGAACCTTCCACCCTGACGAGTCATAAATTAACCCTAGACCCAGTGCCTTGGAGATTAAGTCACCGCCTAAACCTAATACGACTAGGTTTTAGGAAACAGATAACGCCACTTTTATATAAAAAGGTGGTGCCTCTCGCATAATACATATCTTCTACATATCTTCTACACCTTCTACACACGATACACATCCCTCTCTGTCTACTCTCTTAATTTCTTTATTGACTTAAGTATCGGAGAGTCTACCCTCGGGAGACACCCGAGGCTCTGTCTTGCAGGTTTTAGGCCGTTCGCCTCTGCCTAGATCATCATCGCCGCCCGTCCTAAGCACTGTACAAATCCATGCTTCGTCACACCCCATGATCCATCATGGAACAAGTACCATCCTTATTATTCGGAGAACAACCAATCAAAGCAGGGTTAAGGTGAAGATTCTCAACTCCAGTACTCATTGACGAAGTGTTAAAGTGGTCGTCTTTCAGTGCAGATGCAATAGAGATAGAGCCATGTTGCTGGATTAAACCATCCTAATTTTCTTCCATTCTATAACCTTCATCTTGATCTGGCTGAAACCACAAGGTTGAAGCAGAGGAGTTATTATGGTAATTGTTACTTCCAGTTCCCACATTGATATAGCAGTATCAGAAGATTCATTCAAATAGAAACGTTTCGCAATTCCTTCACTCCCATCCCAACAATGAAATAATTCCAGATTTCCTTCTTACCCATTCCAACTGAAAGATTTCTGACTTCTTTGGTACACATGCAAACTATTGGAAGATTCTGGCTTCCAATATTTCCTGCAGTATCACTAATAGCACCAGCTGCAGACTCACTTTGTGGAAATAAGTGGGTGGTTGTTCGGTGGACATGGGGGACTTCTGATCCAAAAGGCCAACTGAACCACCAGTACAGCTATCGGAGGACAATCTTATAAGTTTTTGTTCATCATCTTCCTCTGAAACACTTAACACCTGAACATCGAATCCGCTTTCAAAATTTTGCCCGGATCCGATAATAAATCCACTGAGATGCTTCTTCACTGTCAATAATACAAGTTCCAAAACTTCTTGTGGATTGGCACTGACAGTACTGGGAAGAAAGAACTCAAGAACGTAAACATCAGGATCTGAATGATCTGTGTCATGGTGATGGCTCTTCAAACAAATTGCAAAAGAGGCAGTTAACAGAACCTTCCTGGCAACATGAGCAAATGAGTAATCTGATATATTTAACTGCCCAACGTCTTTGCAGAAGCATGAACCACCAGAACCGAATGCCTTCCAAAGTACACCTCTCCCAAACGGTAGGTGAAAACTTTCACAGGTATCTCTAAATATGCAGAAGGCCTGCTGCGACTGATAATATTCATCACTTGTAGTAGAGAGTCTAGAAGAATCAAAGACTCCATATTCTAGGGTTTATGAGAAATAGAGAGAATGGATTTTGGGAATATTTTCATTCAGTATGCGGTTTTGTATGAATATGTATTTGTGCCTATCAGCTACCGTATCTCTACATTTATATACACAATTAACAGCTAATGATTAGTTGTATTTAATATGTCCTATAACTACCCTGAGTAAAAGGTCCATATTAACCTCCACTTAACTTATACATCTATACTCATGAAAAGGACAAAACTGTACAAAGAACAAAACTGTACAAACTGAGTCGTTTGACTAGAATCCTTCCACCGCCTTTATCCTAGATCAAATCTTGCTGATTCTTCATCCCCTCCGCAAGCTGAAAAGTGAATGGTCTTCACTCCAAGCTTGGATAATAAGTCTGAAAACTAGGGAAAAGCCAGTGACTTTGTGAACAAATCCGCGATTTGTGCATGAGTAGAAATATGTAAAGGCACAAGAAAACCTTTGAGATATTGTTCCCGGACAAAATGACAATTAATGTCAAGATGTTTGGTGCGCTCATGAAAGACCGGGTTCTCTGTGATGTTGACAACAGCCTGATTATCACACCATAACGGGATAGGAAGATGAAGAGAAACTCTAAAATCATGAAGCAGGTAGGAAATCCACAACATCTCCTTGCTAGTAATGCTGAGACTCCTGTATTCTGCCTCAACTGAAGAACAGGATATGGTAGTTTGCTGTTTAGATTTCCAGGAAATCAGTGCTGAACCAAGGAAGATACAATAGCCTGTGAGAGACCTCCTGTGGACTGGATTAGTGCCCCAATCTGAGTCTGCATACACTTCAAGTTTCATATCAGAATGAGATGAATAGAACAACCCAGTGGTAGAAGTGCCTTTTAGGTATTTCAAGGTGTGAAGAAGTCCATTCCAATGTTCCATACATGGAGCATGAACATATTTACTAAGTTGCTGCACAACATAGGAGAGATCAGGTCTGGTAAAATTCAAGTAGAGCAGCTTGCCTATCAATTTTTTGTAAAGGGAAGCATCAGCAATTGGAGGACCACAGTCTTCTCCAAATTGATGGCCTTTCTGTAAGGGTGTAGCTGTTGGTTAGCAACCACTCAAGCTTGTCTCTTTTAAGATATCCAAAATGAATTTCCTTTGATTAAGGTGCATACCTTCTGGAGATCTAGCAATTTCAATGCCAAGAAAATATTTGGCATATCCCAAATCCTTGATGGTAAACATCTGATGAAGATATTGCTTGACCTGGATGATTCAGCTTCATTTGATCCTGTGATAAGGATATCATCCACATACACAAGAAGAGCCATAAACTGAGTTTCTGTCTGCATGATAAACAGGCAAGAATCATGCATAGACTGTGTAAAGCCATAAGACTGAATTCTTTTTCCGTTGGGTATTATAGGTGGTTTGTAAAAGATTTTGGGGTGATTAGTAAGCTTTTCACTAATTTGTTGAGAAAGGGAGCATTTGATTGGAATGAGCAAGCTACACAGTCTTTTCAGAAACTGAAAACAACTCTATCCACTACACCTGTGTTGAGACTGCCTGATTTTTCTCAACCTTTTGTGGTGGAAACAGATGCTAGTGGAGATGGAATGGGAGCTGTATTTATGCAACAAGGTCAACCTATTGCTTACTTAAGCAAGTCATTTTGTACTAAGAACAAGGCATTATCTACTTATGAAAATGAGTTGTTGCACTGGTGATGGCAGTGGGAAAATGGAGACATTATTTGTTGGGACATCATTTTATTATAAGGACTGATCATCATTCCCTTAAGTATTTGCTGGAACAAAGGGTGAATTCTCCTTGTCAACACAAATGGTTAGTAAAATTGTTGGGGTTTGATTATGAGATTCAATCAAAAAGGGAAAAGAGAATGTAGATGCTGATGCTTTATCCATTTGGCAATGAACAGGAGTTAATGCCATTTCTATGGTTTAAACCATTTGGATGCAGCAATTGGCAAGTAGCTATGATGGTGATGATAAAGCTCAACAGAAGATTTTGAATGCCACTTTAGATGCTGTGAATCATCCTCATTTGCATTATGTTGGGGGGGGGGTGCTTAAGGAGAATGGAAAGCTGTTTGTGGGTAATCAAGGGGATGTTAAGGCATCATTACTGAAAACCTTTCAATCTTCATCTCTGGGAGGACATTCTGGACAAAATGCCACATATTAGAGGTTAAAAAGCTTGTTACCTAGAGGAGTCTGTAAGAGGCTATCAAGTCTGACAGGTTAACAAAGTGGAGCGTCTTCATTATCTTGGTATGTTACAGCCACTGCTAGTACCACAACAGGCTTGGAAGGGAATAACTATGGATTTTATTGAGAAACTTCCTTCCCAAATGAGGGTTTTGATTGCATATTGCATATTGGTGATAGTAGACAGATTGACCAAATACGGCCATTTCATACCCCTAAAGCACCCTTTTACTACCATGGATGTGGCTGAGGTGTTATTCAAAGAGGTGTATAGACTGCATGGACTGCATGACAGTATAGTATCTGATAGAGACAAGATTTTTTACAAGCCATTTCTGGACTGCTTTGTTCCAAGCCGTTGGTGTGACTTTTAGCTTAAGTACAGCTTACCACCCTCAAACAGATGGCTAGACAGAAATATTAAATCAGTGCTTGGAATGTTATTTGTGTTGTTTTTGTAGTTCTTCACCTTACAAATGGTCCAAATGGATTGTGTTAGCAGAATGGTTGTATGATACCACTTTTCAGTCAAGTGCAAACATGACTCCTTTCCAAGCTTTGTATGGATATCAACCAGTGGGAATACCTATGGGAACTTACACTGATCTGGTGATGCCAGCTGCGGCTAAAATGATTCAACAGAGGCAGTTGATCTTACAGAACTTAAATGATAGCTTGGTTAAGGCACACCAACGTATGAAGCATTATGCTGATTTGCTGAGAACTGAAAGGGAGTTCATGGTGGGTGATTATGTGTACTTGAAACTCCAACCTTACAAACAGCTAACAGTAGTTCCTAGGAGTTCACTGAAACTGATGCATCGTTATTTTGGACCCTATTTTGTACTGGAAAAAGTGGGGAATGTGGCTTACAAGCTTCAACCAGCAGGATCTAGAGTACACCCTACATTCCATGTATCTTTGATGAAAAAATACATTGGACCTCCTCCTACTGTGGCTTTAGTTTTGCCTGATTTGGATGATGAAATTGAGTGTAAATTGGAGCTTGAAAGAGTTTTGCAGCGATGATTCATCAATAGAGGCTCTCAGGATGTTGTGCAATGGTTGATCAAATGGAGGGGCTTTGAACTTGATGATACTTTTTGGGAGGACAGTCATTTCATTCGTGGACAGTTTCCGGATTTCAAAAGTTGAGCACCAACTTTTGAATTTTTAAAAGGGGGAGGGAATGTCATGGATTGCCGGGTCGGGCAGACGGATCACAAATTGGAATGGGAATTAGGGCTGTTGGACGACGCCGTTTGATTAAGTGGGAAGATTAAAACTGAAAACCGCATTAATGATGCTCATGCATGCAAATCATCTAATTAGCATTGCTTAGACTTTTGTTGACTAAGTTCATCTATAAATACTGGTAATCGGGGATTCTGGAAGTTTCATAACAGAATTGATAATCTAAATTGTATGATCTTCACATTTTCTTTCTTTTTCTTCATTTCTCGGAGTTTTGTTTTGGCCGGAACTTCGCCGTACCTGACAGTAAATTAGACCCCGGATATAACGGCTGGGTCAGTCAAAGCCCATCCCACAAGTTACACAGGTCTGCGGATGAAACTCGCGCTGATACTATCTTCAAGGCCCAAATATAGGCCCACATGTGGTTTTACCTTAAAATCAATTGGTGATAAGGACAGTAGCAAATGTGGTTATATATTGGTTTCAAGAGTCTCTATCTATCCATGTAGGACAAGGTTATATTCTCAACAGTTCTTGATTTAAAAAAAAAAAAAATTCCAAAGGGAAGTTTTTACTCTAGCTTGAAACTTTCATTGTTTTACTTTTCTTTTTTAAAAAAAACAAAAAAAAAAAAATTTACTGCTAATCCAATCCCACACCTGCTAATCCATAAGTGCAAGCTTTATCTCCTTGCTCAATTTCAGTAACAAAATTTAATTCAAAGTAAACCAAATGAATCACAATTTAAAGACTAAAACATTTTACAAATTTTGAACTCACACGTAGAATCTATTTCTTATCTTCTTCCTTCCAGAGGACCAGAAACCTTTTGGGCGACGAGCTGCCGGATGTGACCATTTTTGTACCAAAGTACTCAAAGAACTTCGATTCAGTAAAGATTCCGTCCATCTTCATCCGCGAGAGCCCAGTTACTTTCAGCCATGCCGGGCCGGTTAAGCAGGTGACTGCGCCGGGGGACACATTTTTTTTTTTCCCCCTCCTCTGCAAAGCAAAATTACACGAAGAAAAATGGACCAATCGATTTCGGGGGCTTATAAATTTAGACACTTCCTAGAAAAACACGACTAGTACACTACTAGGAGTATTATTTTATTGGCTGATTTCTATGAATGTGAACACACTTCTATTGGTCTGCTCTAAGGAGTTGACTACTGTAGCTCTTAATTCGGCGTTTGTTTTTTTCTTCCGACATGACACTTCTTAGTGTCAAATCTAACTTGTCCATTTAAATTTAGGGAGAATTATTAACATTATTCTTAAGAGCATTCACACTTTTTATGAATTAGTGATGTTAAAATAGTTTTGATGATACAAATAACTAGTTTATCATTTCGGTAACCAGTAACAATTATTATTTTATTTCCTTTCCTTTCCATAAAAGTAACGTTTTTAATCAGTTAGTTCTAGCTATCATTTTATTGCTGAAAGCCGTTGTAGCATCATGCATAAAAGCATGTTGAATTTCGTATAGCATATTACAAAATTAATAATATTAATAGAAAAATTCTTTAATTGAACTAATTTATAAGTGTCGATGATTTTAGTTTGCAACCAAATGATGAGCAATAAAAATCTTGTTGCATATAGGACGTAAGGAAATTTTAAATTTCTTGCGACTGGCAGTTCCTAATAAAAATGAAAGATCTCATTGGGTTCATGTTCTCTCACTACTAAAACTCAAGAATGAGGACAACGCAAGCTACGAAAAGTAGATAAATTGAAAAACCACCTGAATTGAAGGTTTAGTTCAATAATTTAAGCCAAAATTGTGAGGAGAAAAAGAACATAAATCATCACCATAGAGCAGATTACTGTTTTGCTTCTTCCTCTATCCCCTCACCACCCCCCCCCCCCCCCCCCACAACCCCTTTTCGCTGAGGGAGGGTGTGATCTGTGTACTGAAGCAGAAGAATGGATTAAATCTAGTTTTAGTAAAAGGAAGGCTAAAATAGTCTTTTAAGAAAGTTTAGTTGTATTTATCCAATTTCTAAAAATAAAAAGATTGGTAATGTCCTAAATAATAATATTGATCTTTGTGATGCCTTTTTAAATAATTTCCCCTCAAATTGAAGGGGTAAAATTCCTTCCGAAGCATCGCAAATAAGAGGACTTGACATTTAACTCTTTTAGTAGTAACTGCAGACAAAACAATGACGTAGCAGTTATAAATAATTTCTCCGTTAGAAAAAAAAGTGCTAGTCTAAAGTGCTTTTCTGCATGTCCCACTTCCAGGAGGATTCTTTGGGCCCACTACTTGTTGAATGGAGGCCGTCCAAGTAGCAATGGTAGAAGTGGGGAGGGGGGTGGGGAATAGGAAGCATATTAAAGTACAATTAGATGACAAGATTATTGTTTGTTGGTTGCAAGGGAAGATTACTTCAATATCAACAATTTGGGCGATAGTTAATGGCAACCTTTGTTAAAATTTTCTTCTGATGACTGTAAAATTTTTATTTATCAGAAAGACTTGGAATACATTATGCTAAGGTCTAGCTAAATGGGTTTTATCTAACAAACTTTCACAAAATTGGGAGACGCTCCCTTTGAGGTTAGATGAAATCTTTCCGGTGGATCAAAATGAGTCGGCGTTGGTCGATTTTAAATTTGTTTACTTTCCAATTATGATTATCGCTTGTGTAAAAAAAAAATATTAGTGGTCTTTAGCTGCTTCTTGTCTAGAAAATTTTAGTTTATTTGACAATCTAAACTCTTAAATATTATAGTAGTTAGAACACGATTTGTTCGGATTCTCCTATCTATGAAATGTATTGGGACATGATTTACTGTCTACTTTTACATCCTCAAAACTTTTTAGATGCCTCTTATTTAGAAAATCGTTGACAAAACGAACAAAAGGAGAATAATGAACCACCCTACTCTGAACTGATAAACGCTTCCGAAAGATAGAAGACCAAATGAGCCTAGAGGTCAGGCCTTTGAACCCTGAACCTGATCCCTCAGATCTAGGAGTTAATCCTCACCCCAAAGATAACTACTCCTTGAAACACTTCATGTCAAAATCAAAGAAGCTTCCCTAGATTCAATACACATTGCATATTGTTAAGTAATAAATTTGAAGGAATATTCCGATTCAGTCATGGAAGCATTTCTCAGTGTAAACAACCTTTATTAAATGGAAAATGCTATACTTCCGATGCAATAATATCGCCTAAATATGAATTTCGTCTAAATTCAAAAACACAAACACACACAAATGAAATTGATGTCGTCCATACAGCCTTAAAATATTTACTCTTAATTGGTACCAGAATAATAGTTCAATAACAAATGAATTTTTTTTTAATGAAAGTACATGTATATTACGTCGTACCTTTGCTATTACATAAACATGTATTATAGGATAAATTATGTAAGTCTCTCACCTCGTCCCTGCTAACTATTTTTATAGAACACATTCAGTACTTCTGTTCATTTGAATATCAATAAATCAAATACAAAACTTTTAGCTAGACTATTACTGTTTTTATGTGTTTTGCCTCCTTGATGGAAATTTTTTTTTTTAAAAGTGGAAACATATAGACTGTAATACAAGAAGAAGACGTAGTATCAAGATAAGTGGTGTGTTTAATTTTGCGTCCTGAACCCTGGTGGCCCCGACCCCTGAACCCTTTTGACGAAGCTCAAAACTCCAACAACTGCCAACTTTCTTCCCTTTCTCCCTATAGATTAAGGTCAATCTCTCAATGGACAATTCGCGCCAAAATGATGATGGATGATATTCAAGACGTATTTCCGCCGCAGATCCCTTTGGCTGTCTTAACTGAACCTGAAATGGATCTCGAAGCGCCACCGCCGCCAGCTCTGCTTCCTCCAAATGAAACAGAGCTCCCACAACCGCTTCACCAACCTACAAACCCGAACCATCCGCCTCGTCCCCGTACTTGCACCTGGCCACCTCCTCAGCTACCTCCCGAATGGCTCAATTTAATTATGAGTTTCGGCTTTGCGGCGATCAGCTTCCGGTCACAGAGCCAAAATTCCGGCAGCCCGCCATCTCTTAGCTTCCATATGGCTTTCCTATGTTTAGTCTTGGCTTTATCGGCACTGACGGTATCCAAGTATACCAACGAAAATCTTCGAACAATGGCTCAAATTCTGGAGCACGCCGGCGTTTATTTTGGGTTCACCGCCTTTTTTGTCGCCGTGACTCCAACTTTTCCCCTGTTCCTCCAAATCATCGTCTGGTTTGCTTACGTACTTTCAATCGCTGTAATCATCTTCTCCCACTTGGGTTTCTTGTAGATTACACATTTGATGTTTGTAATTAGGTGATTTAGAATTCATACATATAGTTAGTGGCATGTAGTAGGAAAATTATAAGTTATTGGTGATCTTCCTACATACATTTGCTAATGCCATTTCCAAGGGCGGTTTTCTTTTTTAGTCCCCTTTTAGTTGCACACAAATGTATATTAGTTACATTTGCAGTATAAACTATTTTATGACTATATATGGTACATTTGGTACTCTTGCGAGATCTAATTCGCCCACTTGATAGTTCAAGTACCTGGAATTAGTTGTTTCATTAGAAAAATAAAATATAATTATCGTTGTGTATTAATATGGGATGCAAAAAAAGGTATTGTTAGTGGACAATTGCTGAGATTTTCAATCATATAATCCAAACCAAAAGAAAATTAAAAAAATGAGTGATTTTGTTGACTATTGTGTGATTCTAACCATTCAAAAATTATGGAGTATATGTTACGTTTTGATCAAAATTGCACCTTTAGGCTTCAACTGATTTAGATTGTGCCAGGAAAGTCCCTCACAAACATTCATATATTAGGGAGAAATTCTCATAATTCATAATTTGTGTCTGTCACAAAATAATGATAAAAATTAATAGAAGGCATTTTGTGTTAATGTTAATGATTTGGATTATTGGATATAAGGAGAGATAAATTAATGTGTTAATTTGGGTAAAACTTGTTAGGATAGGAATTTCATAACTGCATTAGAAGTAGAACACTCGAGGAAAATCTCAACCTGCCTTTTGGCTGGAAAACGCCAACTGTTTAATTTACAAGAAAGCTCTTGTAGTTTCTCTTAAATTGAATCTGTAGTTGTTTGCCTTCATCGTCAATTGACTAAACATGTTAAATTCTAGTGCAATGAATCCAAGCCACACTTGAATTTCTAGTGCAATCTAAGAAAAATACAAGTGGGAAAAGATGATCACGGCGATTGACAGTACATACACAAACCAAGAAATGATCTGGAGAAACAGGGGAAAAGTGGGGGTTATGGCAACAAAAAATGCGGTGAACCCAGAAAAAACTCCGGCGTATTCCAGGAATTCAGCCACCGTTTGTTGATTCTCAGTGATGTATTTGGACACCGTCAAAGCCGATAAAGCCAAGACTAAACATAGGCAAGCCAGGTGGAAGCTAAAGGATTTCAGGCAGCCGGAATTTTGGCACTGCGACCGGAATCCTATCGCCGCAAAACCAAAACCCATGATTAAATTGAGCCATTCGGGATGTTGTTGAGGCGGCCGGGGTCGATTTCCGGTTCTAGGACGGGGCAGAAGGTTCCGGTTTGGAGTTCGGATCCCCGGCGGAGGAAGCTCTGCTTCGTGTGGAGACGACGGAGCTGGCCGCGGCCGCGGCGCTTCAATATCGCTCTCGGGTTCAGCTAAGACATCTGACGGTAACTGCGGCGGTGGCGGAAATGCGTCTTGTATGTCCTCCATCATCATTTGTAGTGTACACGAATCACCCATGACCGGAATCTCCATTGACGAATGGATCTCAATTTATAGTATGAGAATTGGGGACCGGAGAAAGTTTGGGGGACGGATTGTTCCGTGTTAAAGCTTTGTCAAAGGCCAAAGGGGTCAGCTGTATTTTGAACCCTTTCCATTCTATTTGAACTGTTTTTTAAGAAATCCTTAAGGGATCAGCTGCTCCGAGTCAGGGTGCAAAGAATGGGGTTTTCTCGTTTTTGCTTTTGGTTCTCGAGAGAACTGACTTGGCTCATCACTCCTGTGTTTCATAAGAGTGTTGATATGTGCAAGAAAACTTTTTAAGAGATTTTAATCGGGAATGATGTGATTTATCCCATAATCTTTAAATGTAGGATTTATTCTATGTTAAAATTTCCTATAAAATTTTCCCTCCACGAATCATTATTTTTCAGAAAAATGTAAGTTCCTCCATCTAAAAATAATTATCTTGTTTCTTTTATAATTATGTCTGAGTCAAAATTGTCTTTGAAAGTGAGATCCGATTCGGCTCAAACTAATTTCTTTTTAAACAATTGCGCGATATTCTCAAAAGGTGGAGCCCAAACGTTGAGATCGTCGCTAAATGCCAATACCTTCGATACAAAATTGATTCGAATATAATGAACTCTATCGATAAAATAGTACAAAAACTCCAAAAAGATGAACAAAACGGCCGTGAAGGCTAGTTTTATTGATTTAATTGAAAACGTATCGGCCTGAAAACGTATAGAGAACTTGTGCTATTCAATACAATTTTGTAAAGAAACGCAAACAAACTTGAAAGAAAACAAATGGCGAAAAGCTATAAAGAAAACTACCCATTTGATTTTTGTGTGATGAATTGTGTGTGTTGCCGTCTCCTTTTCATTGCTTTTATACATCCTCGGCCAACCCTAGTTGTGTTGCAGCCAAAGTCGAATCCGATAAGGACTTTTATTGCAACAAGAATCCTTCTCTGACTTGGATTTTGTTGCCGACGATTCCTTATCCAATTTAAACTGCCGACTGCCGCCCTTTCTTGAGTTTATTTTTCAATTCTCGCGGGCTAGTTAATATTTAAATGAATGGATGCTTTGCTGCGATCGGCCCAAGTCGTGCGGACCGGATTTGTCAAAATCGGCCCAATATAACACTTGCCTTTTTTTCATCACCATCTCTTAGGCCCAAAATAATGGGACGATCCATCAAAAATATGTTCCTAGAAAAAATTTGATCGGCCCAGGAGCCCCCCTAGCAAAGGCGCATAGAGAGGAAACACGGCTTTGGTAACGACTCTGAAAATCCACAAATCTCTAGGGTTGATTGAAGTAATGTTGAAGTCGATTATCTGATGGCGGAGAGAGGGAAGAAATCCCAACAACCTTTGTTTTGATTCAACGATCAACGCAAAAAATTCTAGTCCGTTTCCAAATCCAAATTCAACCTCAATCCATCGAAACAATCCTATTAAAGCAGTTGCTCAGATCTTAGGTAATCCTCAAAACCACTTGCAACCCAAAATTCAACCACAGAAATCCCAATTCCACTTAGCAACAGAAAACCCTTTTTGCAGCAACTGTTCAGACAAAAATGGTCAGCACAAGTGACGCAAATCCGATGGCGTATGACAAATCAAAAGTTGCAGCACACAAAGTAAAGCCAGAAGACATCGATCTATTGAATCCATATGAAGAACAGGTGATGCTGCCTTACAATCGTTCTTTGCGGCAATTCACCTTAGGGCCCAATTTCCCGACGGCTCCGAAAAACCTGAATGAATATATCCCACTTCTCTGTCCAGATGATGCTAACCACAAATACAAAATTCCCTGCAAATTTGCTAGTTCTGATAGAATCCGGGTATGGCCATGGTCTGAATAACGTGAAATCCGTGAGGTGTTTGTCGAGTGGTATAATATTTTGGAACCGGAATATGGAGACACATGGAGGATGGCCGGCATCTATGATTTGTTGCAATTTTGCACCATAGGAATTTCGGAGAGCTAGGAGTTGATGGAAGCAGTGATGGGATTCTGAAGTGGGACCAGTAATGTCTTTTGCTTTCTATGGGGACTGATGACACCCACGCTGCTAGATGTGTGTGTGATTACTGGACTACCTGCTATTGCGGCTGTGATAATGGATGAGAAGCTGGAAGATGATGATGTAGTCCAAGTGGCAGCAGGCCAAACCAGGAGCTATGGCCCTTTCATCAGTGAAAACAAGGGAAAAATAAGCCGCCTGCATCACATTCGATTTTTAGCCCTCTAGTTAAACATGTATGTATTCCCTGGGAAATATTTTCAAATGACTTTGGATTGGTATCATGTTGTTGTTAGATTAGCCTCTAGAGAACGATCAAACTTAGTTGAAGCCTTGCTGAAATGTTGTACCATAGTCTGCATGAAACTAGGCATAATCTAGGCTTAACTCTTTTTGGTCCTGTGTGGTTATTACATATTTGGTTATATATGGATTTCCCGAGTCTAAAAGCAGAAGGAATATATCATGTGGAAAGAGGGGAATCATTGTGCCTAGAAGTGCAACAGTATATAAAAACAAAGTATAATGGAACCCAGGCCTTTAAAACCCTCTTTGAAACCAGCCCAGATATAGGCGTGATTAAGGTGCAACAATTAAGCCATGAATGTGGCACAAAAATTATGGGGAGGTGTGTCATGCTGAAGCTGAAAGTGGTCGGTGGGATAACATCGGGATATATGGCTTGACTTGTGTATGGAGCCACAGGCTGACGGTCAGAGACATCTTCTATAGCTTTAAAAGTGTGCAATCACACAATGTTGGGGCAACATGCACGTAGAATACAACCCAGCCAACATGGTATCACGTCAGTTTCGATTTGCCCAAAGTGTGCCACATTTTGAAGTTTTTGGTTAGAATACAGGGAGATCGGGTAAAGAGAAAATGCCCATGGTGCAATATGAAGAGCACTGGGAATTGATGGTCACTCGTGGAAAAACTTCTCCGATAACGCCCTTTAAGTTCTGTTTTGAAGTTACCCCTGGATTTGCAGATTTGTGGGGCAAGCTTGCAGAAACTATGTATGGCTCCGGGTATGAAGCAGTGAAGACTGCATTTCGTATTGAGAAATATGTCAAGCCCAAAACTGTTGCAACTGACCCCGAAACCGATCCCAAAGGTAGGAAATCACCATTTATGAGTTTATGTTGTGGCTTTCAGTCAAATTTCGTACTAAGTGTTGCCATGACAGGGAAAGGCAAAGCTCATGGCAAGACGAAGGTTGGTGCTGAGAAGACAAAGAAAACTCCAAGTGCTGCAGGAGGAAAAGCCAAACAGGCTCCTGCTAAAGAAGCACCGACGAAAACCCGCCGTTCCACTAGACTGGTTGGACAAAAACAGACTGCAAGTGAAGCCAACAATAAGGTAAAAGCATAATAGTGTTAGGCTAGGATATTTTCTGAACATGACTGTTAACAATTCCCATTTTCTGCTTGTCTTGCAGGAAAACCCAGTGCATGTTGATGGCATTGATGAAGAATCTGATAGCAAAGAAAGTTAGAAAGGTTCTGTTGCCATTGGGGAGAATGTTGCTGCTAGGTAAACTGTGTCGGAGTTAGGAAAAACCAAGAGCAATAAGAAACATAAAGCAGCCACTTCTTCTACCCAAACGGGTTCTGGGAAGAAAGCACCTCCATCTGTTGCGGTATTGATGGCACGCCTGACACAAACAAAGGCGGCGACCATCACTAAAGTTGACCCTGCAACCAGTGAACCTAGCATTCCCTTGGGGGCTGCCTTGCAATAGATTACTGAAATGTTTCAGCTGCCGCCAGAAGAAGTATACTGTACCAGATATGGCTAGTTGAAAACATGGTTGGCTATATTTCAAGCTGCTTCCATTGATGATGGTATGACAGCTGCAATCTAGCTAATCTTAGTAGAGTCGGCACAGAAGCAGATAGAATGTCAGGTATGTGTGCCACATATAGAAGAATGCCAAGCTGCCTATGCTTTGCATGAGAAAAACAAACTGTGGTCGGAGCAACTTGTGGACCAAGCAGCGCAACTGGAAGTAGAGATTAAGAAGAAAATGGCGGAAGAAGCAGATTTAGTGGCCAAACTAGAAAAAGTTCAATCCAAGAGGGCAGAGCAAGAATCCGCCTTAGGCTCCATTGTGATAGAGACCGATGTGGCATTAAGTGAGTATGGGACAGTGATCAAAACTGTTGCGAAACTGTACCCCAAGTACCAAGATGCTCAACATGTGGTGAAACGGGCCCAAGCAAGTTGGAATTTCCTGAAGTGCATGATCACTGGCTTTATGCAGAATGTAGGAACTGCTCCAAATTCCCCTGCAACAGCTGATCAACCTCAATCGGAGAAAGCAGAAACCTCTCAGTCGGCGAAGGAAAGCAGTGCAACAGAAAAGGAACGACAAATAGTTCCACCAAGAGATGATGAAAAGGCCTTGGTTGTGTCACCTTTGCAGAGTGAACCTTTTGAAGGTGCTATTCCGTCGTCTCCTTCCGCCTAGGCAGAAAACTATTGTACTTGCTTTCTGTAGTGGTTGTTAGGTTATCCTTTGAAATTTGAACATGTCCTTTTGTTTTTCTCCTTTGCTTGTTAATGTGGCAGCGATTGTGATCCTACACAAAAAAAAAAAAACAAACTTTTGTTTTGCATTAGTACCTGCTAAATATATCTTTGTGTTGCAGTGTCCCTTGCAAACTTTTGTTCTTCAATGTCAAGTTGATCCCATGCGGTAGGAAAGAACTTCCACAAACATGTAGCGTAGATAGATCTACCGGCGAGTGTGCCATCCATATCTTGCAGCATGTAAACTCCCCGACCCAAATGTCGGTGAATTATGTATGGACCTTCCCAAGTGGGACTCCACTTCCCATAAGAACGATCCTTATAACCCAATGGCAAAATAACTTTCAAAACCTTAGTGCCAACATGAAAATATTTGTGTCGGACAAATTTTTTGTAAGCACGTATGATCTCTGCCTTTTGATTGACAATATTTGCAATTGCTGAATTTCGGCTAT